ATAACAAGTTACTTTCGGCTAATGCATGACAAGTACAAGTTCATCTACCTCACGAATGAGGGATCAACCAACAATAAGGAATAAGACGAGATACAAATGAGTGTCATAACGATGTTCTTTCGACTTTCTTAAGCATAAGATCAGTTTATGTTCGCCTTAAGGATATAAGTACTGAAGGATGCCGCCCTCGATGTTTCCATTTATCCCGGTCCAATGTCACTGTAATGAATTTTGTCTACGTACATTTGCTTGGCGGCATGAGAAGACCTGGTGGATTCTTGTTAGCAAAGCCTTGTGGTTCGAAAGTTTAGGATTCAGGAGTTCCACTCCACCGCCTTCGCGGTAGGGAGTAAAGCAGGGGGCACTACCGAGGGAGCATGATGAGTAACAACAAACGAGCTGGTCAGTCGTCTCTTGAACTCCTGTATCATTCGTCCTCTTCGCTATTACTTGTTCAGCTTCTTAATTTTTGCCTCAGACGCTGTTTGTTGTTCACGGCGTTTCTGATCACGTACGAAGGCCGGTTTTGCCATCCAGCTGGCATTCAATGAAAGCTGCAGTCAACACATGTTGAACACGCGGCGGAAAAAGTTCACGGCAAGTTCCGAACGTTCCCTCGCTGCCCTCGAATTTCCATGATCAACGTTGCTCGATGTTCTTGAGTTGATGTTTAATCAGCGAAAAAGTAAGACATTATTTAAGTATTAATGAACGTTTCCAAGTTGGATATCGGTTTCATGCTTGGGCGTGGCAGGGGCTGAAGCGAGTTTGCTTCAGAGTAATGAAAATGAATAAGAGAACGTTCACTACTCGAAGAAAATCATCAGAAATTCCTGTTTTTCAACATAGACATAAGAGAATGGAAATTTGCACAGTTACAACATGAATAAATAGCAATAAGAATGAAACGACCCGAAGGCAAAAGCAGCCATGGAAGATGAAGATGGAATAAATAGCAATGAGAAGGAAATTCAAAAATTAGCCTTAATCCAAAAGAAGAGAGTTATTAGTCAAGAAATAAGTATGCTATAAAAAGGCTTTTTCCCAAACGGTTATGAGTGGAACGAGGATAAATTTCTTGCATTAAATATTGATAGCAATATAGAGTGCACGCCATAATCCCATCTCGAGGCAATGGTCACTGAGTGCCTCAGAACTCATTATGCTTAGAGGCCGTACTGCAATTAAAGGACAGGTGCTACTCGCCGTAGTTTCCCTGATCAGAGCAATACAAAACTGCTTCTCTTCATATTGTCTATTCATCGACTCTTATTCCTCTTTTTGCCTATGAGTTGAAAGAAAAATGATGACTTTTGAAAGGCTGGCGGTAAAGCGTATGATGCATTGAGAGTGACATTCTCGAATCATGAGGAATTGACGTCCACTTAGGGGCCAGAACTTGAAAAGCTGGGTAGTTACTTTATGTTAATAGTGTTACCATTCTCAACACAAGAAAACGGTTGTCGTTGGAATTAAATTAACGAGCCTGTAGGAAGAAAAGACCTGACTCCTAAGCTGTTTAGAGTGTGGATCGTAACACCGGAAATACTTTTGGTATTATGTTTTACTCAAGAAGCTGTGTAATAGATACTGTATATCGCAGGTAGCAAGGGTTATGTGTCAAATATTGTTTGGATTACGTAAAAAATAGTGAAAAATCTTGTCTAATCCTTGGTGACTATCAAATATACAAATACTGATGCATTTCTTGAGATCACCTTGCGGAAAAAGACAGTTTAGGGTGTTCGGTGCATTCGCAACTCTTCAACATTTCTACTATAACCAACAGCCGTTGCTGAATCGTAGAAGGAATTATTCCTGCCAGAAAATAACCCTGCATCTACTTAATTTCTCCATGTTGCTTACCGGACTCCTATATGACGGCTGGTGTTTCGGCTCCCACACGAGAAGCTGGTGAACTGGGTTATTTTCTATGCCAAACCAGTCTGTCTGACAGGGCCAATCTCCTCTTCTTGACCTGCACATCAGC